ACGAAGACGTGTGTACTATATCGTAAGTCAGGTTGAACGAAAACATCAGTTGATTGCGGTCGAGTGGAAACAGGTTTAACTGAACGCATTGCGTTTGTAAGCCTGTTCGTGTAGGAGGTTAGATCCATGTTCATTGAGGAGGATGGAGGATCCACGAATTCTCCCGGAGGTCGAAGTGCCGTTCCATAAACGAGTTTAGCCTCAGTGTATCCAATGTCAGCTTTCATTGCATTGCAAATACCTAGTAAGAGGAGTGAAAGGGCGTCGGTCCAGTGTGAAGCTGGTAGGGAAACTTTTAGCTTTTGGTGAAAGCATTCTACCAACCCGTTTGCCTGTGGGTGGTAGGGGTTCGTTTGGAATCGTGTGATCCCTAAACGTGTGGTCAGACAACAGAAAAGTTCAGATTCGAACTGGCGTCTACGGTCTATATTGATAGTTGAAAGGAAGACAAATTTTGCTACCCATAGTTTGACGAGGGCACAGACCACTGTCTCAGTAGTAATGTCCTTGGTAGGTTCTGCTCCTGGCCATCGGGCGCAACGGTCTGCCTAGGTTAAAAGATAAAAGTATTCATTTGAGTCTGGTAAAGGTCCTACCAAATCCAGATGGACATGGTCGGAACGAGCGTCCGGAGTTTTGAATGAGTCCAAGGGACACTTGTTGTGTCTGGTAACCTTAGATTTTTGGCAGCTTACACAGGAGCGTAAGCACTCTCTAAAGTCTTTATTCATACCAGACCAGCAAAATCGTTCTGCTATAAGCTTGATGGTTGCACGAACATCTGAATGAGAAAGTTTGTGCAATGTATTGAAGACGTTCCGTCGATAACGTTTTGGCACGATTGGACGATCCCTACCTGTAGATGTGCCACAAAGTAAAATTTCCTTACCTGTTCCCATCTGTTTGATACGTAACTTGCGGGTTGTGGTCGATAACTCGCACTGAAGATCAGTGTCTTCTTTTTGAAGTTTGGCGAGTATAAGAAGGTCGATTCTTTGGAAACTGTTCAAGGAAGTTATGTGAGATAAGGCGTCTGTAACTACACGGTTTGCTCCAGAAATGTACTGTATGTCCGAAGTAAACTGCAAAATAAAGTACGGTTATCGAGACTCCCGAGGGAGTATTAGTCTGAAGCGAACTCACCTATCAGACAAAACAAACAAAATTTTAAAATTGTTGGTGCAAGTGCCTGTTTTGCAAAATCTCCGGAATGGTTGGTCGTATCGTTGTGAAAATTGTTTTATATTATTGATGGCGATCTCACAGATCGGACAAAACAAACAAAATTTTGAAATTGTTGGTGTAAGTGCCTGATTGGCAAAATCTCCGGAATGGTTGGTCGTATCGTTGTGAAAATTGTGTTGTATTATTCGTGGCGATCTCACCCATCGGACAAAACAAACACAAATTTGGAATTGTTGGTGTAAGCGCCTGTTTTGCAAAATATCCGGAAAAGTAGTTAGAATGAACACTGCCTCAGCTATCGATCGGTACAAGAGTCAAGGGTGTGTCCACTGGCTGGAGAACCGGCATCTCCAGTTCATATGTTTCGATCTTGATGGCTCGTGGGCGGTTGGTCGAGCCACCTTGACACTCGTTCCATCGTGATGCTGGTTGCTGTAGCAAGCCCATTCAACTATTGTATCATTTGTCTACTCACTGTAATTCAGACACTTAATTCACTATGTTCATTTCTGTGTGTGTATCATTGAGCGCGTGTCTGCACATCAACCTCAATCTATTCTCCTATTGGTTGTAACATACACATAATCAATAATTTATCCACACTTGATTGACACTCAAACATTTATATGGATTTTTAACACACACTCACACACACTCACATATACTGTCGTGGTTTCACAGTGTGCTTGCTCGCTGTACGCTTGTGGATTTTATTTATGTTTAACAATAGAAAAAGTATCTCTACAACTGGTGTTCAGGCTCCTGAATAATCTCGAGTAAATCCATAATTGTACTAGGAGATTAAGCCTACCTTAAATACTCAGTTAACGGGATATCATTTATTGGAGTGAGATATAGAGGAAATTAGCCTGAACACTGCCTCAGCTATCGATCGGTACAAGAGTCAAGGGTGTGTCCACTGGCTGGAGAACCGGCATCTCCAGTTCATATGTTTCGATCTTGATGGCTCGTGGGCGGTTGGTCGAGCCACCTTGACACTCGTTCCATCGTGATGCTGGTTGCTGTAGCAAGCCCATTCAACTATTGTATCATTTGTCTACTCACTGTAATTCAGACACTTAATTCACTATGTTCATTTCTGTGTGTGTATCATTGAGCGCGTGTCTGCACATCAACCTCAATCTATTCTCCTATTGGTTGTAACATACACGATAATCAATAATTTATCCACACTTGATTGACACTCAAACATTTATATGGATTTTTAACACACACTCACACACACTCACATATACTGTCGTGGTTTCACAGTGTGCTTGCTCGCTGTACGCTTGTGGATTTTATTTATGTTTAACAATAGAAAAAGTATCTCTACAACTGGTGTTCAGGCTCCTGAATAATCTCGAGTAAATCCATAATTGTACTAGGAGATTAAGCCTACCTTAAATACTCAGTTAACGGGATATCATTTATTGGAGTGAGATATAGAGGAAATTAGCCTGAACACTGCCTCAGCTATCGATCGGTACAAGAGTCAAGGGTGTGTCCACTGGCTGGAGAACCGGCATCTCCAGTTCATATGTTTCGATCTTGATGGCTCGTGGGCGGTTGGTCGAGCCACCTTGACACTCGTTCCATCGTGATGCTGGTTGCTGTAGCAAGCCCATTCAACTATTGTATCATTTGTCTACTCACTGTAATTCAGACACTTAATTCACTATGTTCATTTCTGTGTGTGTATCATTGAGCGCGTGTCTGCACATCAACCTCAATCTATTCTCCTATTGGTTGTAACATACAGATAATCAATAATTTATCCACACTTGATTGACACTCAAACATTTATATGGATTTTTAACACACACTCACACACACTCACATATACTGTCGTGGTTTCACAGTGTGCTTGCTCGCTGTACGCTTGTGGATTTTATTTATGTTTAACAATGAAAAAATACCTGTACAACTGGTGTTCAGGCTCCTGAATAATCTCGAGTAAATCCATAATTGTACTAGGAGATTTAGCCTACCTTAAATACTCAGTTAACAGGATATCATTTATTGGAGTCAGATATAGAGGAAATGAGCGTGAACACTGCCTCAGCTATCGATCGGTACAAGAGTCAAGGGTGTGTTCAGTGGCTGGAGAACCGGCATCTCCAGTTCATATGTTTCGATCTTGATGGCTCGTGGGCGGTTGGTCGAGCCACCTTGACACTCGTTCCATCGTGATGCTGGTTGCTGTAGCAAGCCCATTCAACTATTGTATCATTTGTCTACTCACTGTAATTCACACACTTAATTCACTATGTTAATTTCTGTGTGTGTATGATTGAGCGCGTGTCTGCACATCAACCTCAATCTATTCTCCTATTGGTTGTAACATACACATAATCAATAATTTATCCACACTTGATTGACACTCAAACATTTATATGGATTTTTAACACACACTCACACACACTCACATATACTGTCGTGGTTTCACAGTGTGCTTGCTCGCTGTACGCTTGTGGATTTTATTTATGTTTAACAATAGAAAAAGTATCTCTACAACTGGTGTTCAGGCTCCTGAATAATCTCGAGTAAATCCATAATTGTACTAGGAGATTAAGCCTACCTTAAATACTCAGTTAACGGGATATCATTTATTGGAGTGAGATATAGAGGAAATTAGCCTGAACACTGCCTCAGCTATCGATCGGTACAAGAGTCAAGGGTGTGTCCACTGGCTGGAGAACCGGCATCTCCAGTTCATATGTTTCGATCTTGATGGCTCGTGGGCGGTTGGTCGAGCCACCTTGACACTCGTTCCATCGTGATGCTGGTTGCTGTAGCAAGCCCATTCAACTATTGTATCATTTGTCTACTCACTGTAATTCAGACACTTAATTCACTATGTTCATTTCTGTGTGTGTATCATTGAGCGCGTGTCTGCACATCAACCTCAATCTATTCTCCTATTGGTTGTAACATACACATAATCAATAATTTATCCACACTTGATTGACACTCAAACATTTATATGGATTTTTAACACACACTCACACACACTCACATATACTGTCGTGGTTTCACAGTGTGCTTGCTCGCTGTACGCTTGTGGATTTTATTTATGTTTAACAATAGAAAAAGTATCTCTACAACTGGTGTTCAGGCTCCTGAATAATCTCGAGTAAATCCATAATTGTACTAGGAGATTAAGCCTACCTTAAATACTCAGTTAACGGGATATCATTTATTGGAGTGAGATATAGAGGAAATTAGCCTGAACACTGCCTCAGCTATCGATCGGTACAAGAGTCAAGGGTGTGTCCACTGGCTGGAGAACCGGCATCTCCAGTTCATATGTTTCGATCTTGATGGCTCGTGGGCGGTTGGTCGAGCCACCTTGACACTCGTTCCATCGTGATGCTGGTTGCTGTAGCAAGCCCATTCAACTATTGTATCATTTGTCTACTCACTGTAATTCAGACACTTAATTCACTATGTTCATTTCTGTGTGTGTATCATTGAGCGCGTGTCTGCACATCAACCTCAATCTATTCTCCTATTGGTTGTAACATACACATAATCAATAATTTATCCACACTTGATTGACACTCAAACATTTATATGGATTTTTAACACACACTCACACACACTCACATATACTGTCGTGGTTTCACAGTGTGCTTGCTCGCTGTACGCTTGTGGATTTTATTTATGTTTAACAATAGAAAAGGTATCTTGTTAAGGGTAATGTCGTTAATATCTGACTCCAAATAATAATATTCCGTAACTGAGTATTTAAGGTAGGCTTAATCTCCTAGTAGAATTACGGATTTACTCGAGATTATTAAGAAGCCTGAACACCAGTTATGGAGATAGTTTATTATTAATGAATAATGATAATCCACAAGCGTATTGTGAGCAAGCACACGATGGGAACAGAGAGAGTGTGAGTTTGTTAAAAATCCATATATATTTGAGGGTTAATCGGGTGTAGATAAATTATCGATTATCTGCACGTTGAAACCAATAGGAAAATAGTTTAAAAGTTAATGTACAGACATGCATTCGATCATACACACCGAAATTAACATAGTGAATTAAGAGTCTAAGTTACAATGAATAGACAGATGATACAGTGGCCAAATGGGCTTGCCACATAAGCTCCCATCCAGAACATTGATGTTTTTATGTACCAAAAAAAAATTGGATTAACATCTATGTTCGACAAAGAGATAAAGAACGGAACTGTTTTTAAAATAAAAGTACAACTCAATATGATGAGTAAGCGTAAAACTGTAATAACAGCTTGTGTGTTGAAACGTTTCATATCATGTATATACAAGTGTATATTTAACATTAATGAAATGTATAAAGTTAAAATGTAAGCATAATGATGATCCGTGGGGCCAATAAAAAAAATAGTAATCAAAATAAAATAGGATTTTTATGTGTTATAAGAGTAGTCTCAGGATTTGGTCTAGATAAATATGGTGGTTGCTACATACCTATCTGGCCAATGTACTCTCCTTCCTGATCTTGTTGTAGTTTGTGCTGCTGCTGAATTTCGATTTGAAGTGTTGCTTGTTGCAGGTAGTTTGAATGGTGCTTGCTCTGCTGCAGGTTTAGATGGTTTTACAGTTGTCTGTTTTTTCTCAAAAATATTTCGTCTCATACCGAAAGGTACAAAAGGGCGAGTTTTACCTGTTGAGTTATCACAAGTTAAGGTGTCCTTGTTGTTTATGAGGATGTTTTGGAATAATAATTTCGTTTCCTTAGATTGCAAAAGTTTTTGTAGCTCCGTATCGAGCTTTTGATGCTTTGCCATTTCTTGATAGTCTATATCAGGGATCGAGAAGGTATTGATATTTAATCTCGATAGTGCATCTGCTGCCTCGTTTGCATTGCCTTTAATATAGCGTATATCAGCTGCAAATTGTGAAATGAATTCTAGTTGACGAATTTCGCGCGGACTATATTTATCATGATTGTGCATCAAGGACTTAGTTAGGGGTTTGTGATCAGTATATATCGTGAAAGAATTGCCTTCTAACATGTAGCGAAAGTGTTTGATGGCTAAGTAGATAGCCAACAGTTCTCTACTGAATGTGCTATATTTCGTTTGCGTTGCGTTCAGCTTTTTTGAGAAAAATGCAAGGGGTTGCCATTGTTCATTGACACGTTGCTGAAGTACAGCACCTACTGCTACGTTAGAAGCGTCGGTCATTATTGCTAAAGGTGCATCAACCTTTCGTCGTGCGAGTAATGCCTCTGTGCTTAAAGCGCTTTTCAACTGATCAAATGCTTGAATTGCTTGCGGTGTCATTGCTAATGATTTAGCTCGTCCCCTTAATAAATCAGTTAGTGGTTTTGCTAAGTCTGCACATTTAGGGATAAAACGTCTGTAAAAGTTGATCATCCCAAGGAAACGTCGTAGTTTCTTGAATGAATCAGGCAAAGGATAATTTTTGATAGCTTGTGTTTCCTCAGGAACTGGTTTAATGCCTTGCTTATCAAGTACGTGACCTAAAAAGGTGAGGGATTGTTTTCCGAACTCACATTTGTCAGGATTGACCGCTAACCCATACTCGTTTAGCTTCTCAAAAAGCATTTTCAGATGAGTTAGATGTTCATTTTCATCTTTGCTTGCTATAAGTAGGTCATCTATGTAAGCATACACAAACGGTAAGCCCCGTACCACTTGGTCAATAAAACGCTGGAAACTTTGTGCAGCATTCCTTAATCCGAAAGGCATGCGGACGAATTCGTATAGTCCAAAGGGGGTAGTAATGGCTGTTTTAGGAACATCGTCTGGATGAATTGGAATGTGATGGTAAGCACGGACGAGATCAATTTTTGAAAAAATCGACACGTCAGATAGGCTATGAGTGAAGTCATGCAGATGTGGGAGAGGATATCTATCTGGTATGGTCCGGCTGTTGAGAGCTCTATAGTCACCGCATGGTCTAACTTCGGAAGAGTTTTTCTTAGGTACCATATGAAGCGGTGATGCCCACGGACTATCGGAGGGGCGTATGATGCCCAACTCAATCATTTTGTTGAATTCGTTCTTTGCGATAGCCAGACGAGAGGGATCAAGGCGTCTTGGACGTGCGAACACAGGTGGACCCTCTGTCTTTATGTGGTGTACGACGGTATGCGTCGGTTTGTCGTGTTTGAAACTCGGTCGTAATAAATCTGGAAACTGATTAAGTAAATTGACGTATTTGTCGTTCTCATGATGAGGTTTAACTAATAAATGTATGGAAGTCTCATTTGATATAATTCCTCTAATTTCCTTACTCTGTTCGGCAAGGACAAGTTTCCTATTTCTGACATCTACCAGTATTTTGTGGAATTGCAGAAAATCAATGCCGATTATAGGAACGAGGACGTCCGCTATGATGAAACTCCAGGAAAAATTAGATTTAGGACCGAAATTTAATTGCAACCGCCTTTTTCCGTACGTCTTGATGTCAGACCTGTTTGCAGCTTGTAGTTTTAGTTTGGGGTCAGGTGTGTTTTTCTCGAATGCAGTAGGTGGTACTACACTAACCTCTGCCCCAGTGTCGACTAAAAACTGTGTGCCGGTTCTTTTGTCTGTAACATATAATAGACGACTGTCTTGAAAGTTGTGGTCAGTGAGTGCAGTCGTCATTAACCTACGGTCTTGACGTTCCTTTTTCTGTGTGCTTGCAAAGTTACAAGGCGGAGTACATTTTCTAGCTTGTTTGCCATATGTTCTATGGTACCAGCAAATGTTGTGTCTAGTAGTGCTTGGACTACGTCGTCTACGGCTTGTGGATGTTCCTCTACGCTTGCTGTGGGAGGCATTCAATAATTGGATCTGAGCTATCTGTTTCGTAAGGGTATCAACTGATCGTCGTAACTCGGCGATCTCGTCAGCTGAGCTTGATTGGATTTGAGATACAAGGTGAGTCTTGGACCGTTCGTAAATTCTGTCGGCTATGTCTGCTAGTCTATCAAAATCAACGTCTTCGTCTCCAATTGCTAGTATCTGTTGAATGTTTTGAGGGAGACGTCTGAGCCACAGTTGATATAGTAGACGTTTGTCTACTGTACGATTTCCTAATAAGTTTGTCATGTGGCGTTTTAACTGTGACGGTGTATTGTCACCTAGCTCTACGTTGGCTAAAAGTTGATCAATTGTCTGTTGGTCGGTGAGAGATGTGACACGAATGACCTCTCTTTTTAGACAATCGAATGGTGAGTCAGGATCCGGCTTAAAAATGACATCCGGCACTTGTTCAATGACGTCATCTGGCAGCAGTGAATTCGCATAACTAAATTTCGTACTCTGGTTTGTGATTTTGTTTGCAACAAAAAAGCTTTCCAAACGAGCAAACCAGAGTTCAGCCTTTCGTGGATTAAAAATGGGTAAAGGTACAGAGATGGCACCCACGGAAATAGATTTAGATGAAAGGCTTAACGAATTATCAAGTGCCATGATACGAAAAAGCAATAGTAATAATAAGCTGAGGATTGTAATATACAATATGTTGAGAAATCAAAAATAACAACAAAAAAAATATATAAGACTCACCGAAAAGAAAAATTGTCACTTTGGGTATATGTATGAGAATATACAGTAATAATTCCAAAGGGAAAATATTATGAGTGAATTTATTATGACTGTCAATGGATTGTTATTAATTATAATAATAATTCCAATATGAAGTTCTTTATGATACTCTTGAGGAGAATGCAGCAGACTTTGGAGGAAAATGGTGCGCGTTCTAAAGGCGGGTCACCAATATGTTCAGGCTAATTTCCTCTATATCTCACTCCAATAAATGATATCCCGTTAACTGAGTATTTAAGGTAGGCTTAATCTCCTAGTACAATTATGGATTTACTCGAGATTATTCAGGAGCCTGAACACCAGTTATGGAGATAGTTTATTATTAATGAATAATGATAATCCACAAGCGTATTGTGAGCAAGCACACGATGGGAACAGAGAGAGTGTGAGTTTGTTAAAAATCCATATATATTTGAGGGTTAATCGGGTGTAGATAAATTATCGATTATCTGCACGTTGAAACCAATAGGAAAATAGTTTAAAAGTTAATGTACAGACATGCATTCGATCATACACACCGAAATTAACATAGTGAATTAAGAGTCTAAGTTACAATGAATAGACAGATGATACAGTGGCCAAATGGGCTTGCCACAATCTCTACAACTGGTGTTCAGGCTCCTGAATAATCTCGAGTAAATCCATAATTGTACTAGGAGATTAAGCCTACCTTAAATACTCAGTTAACGGGATATCATTTATTGGAGTGAGATATAGAGGAAATTAGCCTGAACACTGCCTCAGCTATCGATCGGTACAAGAGTCAAGGGTGTGTCCACTGGCTGGAGAACCGGCATCTCCAGTTCATATGTTTCGATCTTGATGGCTCGTGGGCGGTTGGTCGAGCCACCTTGACACTCGTTCCATCGTGATGCTGGTTGCTGTAGCAAGCCCATTCAACTATTGTATCATTTGTCTACTCACTGTAATTCAGACACTTAATTCACTATGTTCATTTCTGTGTGTGTATCATTGAGCGCGTGTCTGCACATCAACCTCAATCTATTCTCCTATTGGTTGTAACATACAGATAATCAATAATTTATCCACACTTGATTGACACTCAAACATTTATATGGATTTTTAACACACACTCACACACACTCACATATACTGTCGTGGTTTCACAGTGTGCTTGCTCGCTGTACGCTTGTGGATTTTATTTATGTTTAACAATAGAAAAAGTATCTCTACAACTGGTGTTCAGGCTCCTGAATAATCTCGAGTAAATCCATAATTGTACTAGGAGATTAAGCCTACCTTAAATACTCAGTTAACGGGATATCATTTATTGGAGTGAGATATAGAGGAAATTAGCCTGAACACTGCCTCAGCTATCGATCGGTACAAGAGTCAAGGGTGTGTCCACTGGCTGGAGAACCGGCATCTCCAGTTCATATGTTTCGATCTTGATGGCTCGTGGGCGGTTGGTCGAGCCACATTGACACTCGTTCCATCGTGATGCTGGTTGCTGTAGCAAGCCCATTCAACTATTGTATCATTTGTCTACTCACTGTAATTCAGACACTTAATTCACTATGTTCATTTCTGTGTGTGTATCATTGAGCGCGTGTCTGCACATCAACCTCAATCTATTCTCCTATTGGTTGTAACATACACATAATCAATAATTTATCCACACTTGATTGACACTCAAACATTTATATGGATTTTTAACACACACTCACACACACTCACATATACTGTCGTGGTTTCACAGTGTGCTTGCTCGCTGTACGCTTGTGGATTTTATTTATGTTTAACAATAGAAAAAGTATCTCTACAACTGGTGTTCAGGCTCCTGAATAATCTCGAGTAAATCCATAATTGTACTAGGAGATTAAGCCTACCTTAAATACTCAGTTAACGGGATATCATTTATTGGAGTGAGATATAGAGGAAATTAGCCTGAACACTGCCTCAGCTATCGATCGGTACAAGAGTCAAGGGTGTGTCCACTGGCTGGAGAACCGGCATCTCCAGTTCATATGTTTCGATCTTGATGGCTCGTGGGCGGTTGGTCGAGCCACATTGACACTCGTTCCATCGTGATGCTGGTTGCTGTAGCAAGCCCATTCAACTATTGTATCATTTGTCTACTCACTGTAATTCAGACACTTAATTCACTATGTTCATTTCTGTGTGTGTATCATTGAGCGCGTGTCTGCACATCAACCTCAATCTATTCTCCTATTGGTTGTAACATACAGATAATCAATAATTTATCCACACTTGATTGACACTCAAACATTTATATGGATTTTTAACACACACTCACACACACTCACATATACTGTCGTGGTTTCACAGTGTGCTTGCTCGCTGTACGCTTGTGGATTTTATTTATGTTTAACAATAGAAAAAGTATCTCTACAACTGGTGTTCAGGCTCCTGAATAATCTCGAGTAAATCCATAATTGTACTAGGAGATTAAGCCTACCTTAAATACTCAGTTAACGGGATATCATTTATTGGAGTGAGATATAGAGGAAATTAGCCTGAACACTGCCTCAGCTATCGATCGGTACAAGAGTCAAGGGTGTGTCCACTGGCTGGAGAACCGGCATCTCCAGTTCATATGTTTCGATCTTGATGGCTCGTGGGCGGTTGGTCGAGCCACCTTGACACTCGTTCCATCGTGATGCTGGTTGCTGTAGCAAGCCCATTCAACTATTGTATCATTTGTCTACTCACTGTAATTCAGACACTTAATTCACTATGTTCATTTCTGTGTGTGTATCATTGAGCGCGTGTCTGCACATCAACCTCAATCTATTCTCCTATTGGTTGTAACATACAGATAATCAATAATTTATCCACACTTGATTGACACTCAAACATTTATATGGATTTTTAACACACACTCACACACACTCACATATACTGTCGTGGTTTCACAGTGTGCTTGCTCGCTGTACGCTTGTGGATTTTATTTATGTTTAACAATAGAAAAAGTATCTCTACAACTGGTGTTCAGGCTCCTGAATAATCTCGAGTAAATCCATAATTGTACTAGGAGATTAAGCCTACCTTAAATACTCAGTTAACGGGATATCATTTATTGGAGTGAGATATAGAGGAAATTAGCCTGAACACTGCCTCAGCTATCGATCGGTACAAGAGTCAAGGGTGTGTCCACTGGCTGGAGAACCGGCATCTCCAGTTCATATGTTTCGATCTTGATGGCTCGTGGGCGGTTGGTCGAGCCACCTTGACACTCGTTCCATCGTGATGCTGTTTTCTTCAGGTATCGTTTTTTATGCGAACTATATTATTAAACACATTTTGGCATGATGTTCTTTTGACAGTGTTTCACGTTTCCCGATTTTGGGTGTTGCTGTGTTTGAAACTGTTATGACCTTGAAGTGGAGGGTTCAAAACTTTCCTCCACCCCGTCGCCAATTGTTATGACCTTGGATGTCTGACTTTGCTGTTTATTTTAGTGATCTATTATCCACTAATGGAATTTTGAAGAGGTCTGATGAATATGTTTCACAAAATCAAAACTTAATGACCTCATATCTAGTGTCGCTGATCCTCATCGTCTAGTCAGTTCTAGTGGACCCTCTACTCAATGCGGGAAATATGCTTTAAATAGAATCAGACTAACTGTTACTTGGGTATATGAGGACCCAACATTATTTCGCGGGGAGGACGGACGCAGAAAATTTTAAAAATCCGGATATCAACTCCGGATCTTCAAAATAAGGGGAGGTGTTAGGGATGCAGAGGAATATACCAATAATTATCATGTTAAGTCCAATGGTGTCTTCGGACTTTAAATGGACATTTCCTACTGG